TAGAAAACACTCCCCATGTTAATGGACAACTATTGATAGACTTACTGCCAAATGACTTTGCACAGCCAGTCACAGAAACAATATCAAATAATAACATCCCTTCTTGATGAGCACTCACTAACACGCCCTTTTAAGTGTTGCAGATCTGGGCTCTTGCTTGTTGTGAAATATTACTGTTTCTACTTTGGCATTAAACTTCAAGCTGTTAGTTTGCATATCATGTGATTATTCTGTTTTGCATAAGTGAGTATTTAATGTTTTTATAATTAGTACAGGGAATCTTAATAAAATGTAGAGAAATCCTATGCAATTATATCTTCTTCTTCTTCTTTCTTTCTTTCTTTCTTTTTTTTTTAAGAGCTTTGATAATTTGTTCCTTTTACAAGGTTGTCTATTACTTAAAACTGTAAATTTGTATTATTAGTTATTGGTATATCATCTTTATTTTTCCACAGCCAAGGGTAAAAAGCTTGATGCTACACAGGAAATGATTGCTTTAGGTAAGTTGTGTAATATAAAACCTTTATAACTAAGTGTCAAACCCTGACACTCAGTTTGTCTAACATTAAAATATTTCAGTACAGATTGTGGTAATAAAAAAAAATTAATTACCAATTATGGAAATTAAATTTACCCATAGCAAGATCAGTTAACAAGTAAAATTCCATACCATTAGTCAACAAAAATTTAACTTATGCCAACAGGTACTCAAAATTACTCTTAAGATGTTTCTTTCACTGTAAAAAATAAAAACTTCTAAGTTAATGAAATGTGTGATATGGTAAAAAGTACAATTATTGAAAAATGCTCAAATCTCAGTGAAAATCATGCTAAGAACTTAGCAGCAACAAGGTGTTAACAAATAGTTAAATATACTGTTAATCAATTAAACTCTCTGTAATTCATTATGAAATTAAGCATATCTTGTACAAACCAGATCTGCTAACTCTAATTTCAAAAAAAGAGCACGTGTATGTATATGTGTGTTTTGATTTTGTGTGTCTTGTCATGATAAAGAATAAGTGTTGTTAATGTGGAGAAATAGAATTATTTAAGTTGAATTGACTGTTTTATTCCTATGATTACCAAGTTGCACATGTTACATGAAAGTAACTTTGAACTTTTGTTTTTCAGGTATTTGTAACGTGATGGGATCTTTTGTCTCGGCATACCCTGCAACTGGAAGTTTTTCTAGGTATATCAACTTATCATTTCATATTGTTCCAGTATAGAAATGAAAATCGTATATATTTGTTCACAAAAAATAAGTTATCCTTGTTACTAGACTTATATTTTGAACATATGTTTCATATATATTTGTTCACAAAAACTAAGTCATCCTCGTTATTAGACTTATATTTTGAACATATGTTTTCAAAAAAAAGTTCATTAGTTCAAGGTAGTACTGAAAAATAGTTATGAAAAGTGTTTTATATAAAACCATGTCAAAAGAAATATTGATATGAATGGTATATATTATTTTGTGTACAGCAGAAGTCCAGACAGTATTTTCGTGAAATACTTTCATAGTAGTAATTGTAGTAATATGCTTAGATCATCTTTATTCGAAATGTATAGTTTTATATTTACTCGTTTGAATTCTACAAGTATGATTTTATTCAGAATGTTGTATCTATAGTCTCTCTAAACAGTGGAAATGAAGTTAATTTCAGAATAAAATAATATGAAAAGTTTTCATCTAACTCCAGGACTAAGTTTCTGTCCTTTTAGAAATTCAGAATAACATGCAGAAAAAATTAGAACTTTATTCCCATAGTGTAGCAATACGTCTGAGTAGTCTAAGCTTCAAGTTCGTGTAGTCTAAAACACACCATATATAAGAAGCTCTGAACATGTAAGTTGCAGGAAGTACATGTTGTTAAGTTGTTAACATTTCTTTCTTTTTTTTATTTCTGCAGTGCAGTGCATTCAATTTGTATTTTTATTTTAATACATATTTCTTTTTGAACTAACTGTTGCTTTTTTCTAGCTTTTCTTTCTTTTCTGTGCATGTAATTGAGTAATAACTTTAAGTTAACTAACTATTTAATGAAATGTTAGAGACTACAGTCTTAAAATGTACATTTTTATAATTTCTGACTTTTAAGTTAATGAAATAAAATGGAAAAAATTGGTTGAGATGAAGAGATATGCAGAGGTAGTGTCCATTGTCGATGTGGAATTTTATAATATTATTTCTAGTTTTATTATAAGCTGGAAAATTTTGTTACTTTAGTGACAATGCAGAGTTTTTACTTCAGCATAGAAAATGAAATGTTGTCCTACTCAAAAAAAAATAAAGCTGTAGCAGTCAATTAGAAATTCTAGTCCCACAAAATAGTGAATTAAATTAATAGTTTTTTCACTCCTCAGATGAAAATTATGATAAAAAATTTTCATTAAAAATTTCGGTTTATTGGAAAATTTATCCCCATTGAATAAGCTTGACCTTATTTTTTTAAATAGTGTGTAATATCAATCCCTGCACTTCATTAAAACATTTATTCATTAAACAAGTTATATTTATTTGTAGAGAATTGTATCACATTTTAATCTGTAAATTACTGTGTCATATGCAAAATTTTCAAGACTGGAGTTGAAATGTATAGTTATTTTCATGTCAGTATAGAATGTGGTTACTTGTACAATAAACAAGTTTATACCTAAAAATGACACTTGTAAACTGATCACTTTGTTGAATGTTATTTAAAAAAAATATCATTTGTTGATTTCATTAACTTCTAAATCCAGCTTCACCGTATTTTCTGTACTGTATATTTTAATATCAATTTAAAAGTGGTCAAAACATTTAATTTTATTTTTCAGAACTGCAATAAATAATAATACTGGAGTGAGAACACCACTAGGGGGCTTGTTCACAGGTAAAAGAACTTTTACTCTTATGATAAAATGGTAAACTTTAATATTACAAATGATTAAGACTGAAGATAATAAAAAGTTAAAAAAGGGTTTTACTTCAAGTTATAGCATAAATACATCCTTTTTATTCTCAAAAAAAAGAACAGTTAAATATTTGAAAGCATGCAAGTTTGTTGAAATATACTTGGTTTTTGGTGATCCTTTGTGCAGTTGTTTTTATAATCATTTTTTAACATAGTTGCTAATCAGATTCCGTAACTTCTTGTTAATGGTCTTTATGTGACTATTTATATCTGTTGTAAAACGTGTCTATGGTTGACTTTTGTTTTTAGATAAAGGCACTGGTCAGTGGCATCGCAATGGTCTAAAACTGGGTCAAGAATTTTTTCATTGTACTGATTTTTATTTATGTGAAAAGCAACCTAGTGAGTTCTCATATACAGGTGTATAATAGGCAAGTGTAAGCATTGAGCTGTTGGTTTTGTAGAGTATTTAGTGTTATATTCATAGAATTTTTTTTTTTATCTTGTGCCACAGGTGGAACTGTGATTCTTGCCCTTGCTGTCCTCGCTCCTTTCTTCAAGTACATTCCCAATGCTACACTGAGTGCTATGATCTTTACAGCTGTTCTTTACATGGTTCATTACCAAGATGTCATAGTAATGTGGAGGAGCAACAGTAAGCTTTCTAATACCCAGAGGCAGTTGAAGGTGTATTGTGTCTCTGTGGTGTAATAATTCTGTGTCTGTATATTGTGTACTAATTATACTCTGTATTATTTAGTGATCAACCTTATATTGTTTAGTGATCATACCTTATATTGTTTAGTGATCATACCGCATATTGTTTAGTGATCATACCGCATATTGTTTAGTGATCATACCGCATATTGTTTAGTGATTATACCTTATATTGTTTAGTGATTATACCTTATATTGTTTAGTGATTATACCTTATATTGTTTAGTGATCATACCTTATATTGTTTAGTGATTATACCTTATATTGTTTAGTGATTATACCTTATATTGTTTAGTCGATCATACCGCATATTGTTTAGTGATCATACCGCATATTGTTTAGCGATCATACCTTATATTGTTTAGTGATTATACCTTATATTGTTTAGTGATTATACCTTATATTGTTTAGTGATCATACCGCATATTGTTTAGTGATCATACCTTATTTTGTTTAGTGATCATACTTTATTTTGTTTAGTGATCATACCTTATATTTTTTAGTAATCATACCTTATATTGTTTAGTGATCATACCTCGTATCATTTAGTAATTATTATACCTCGTATCATTTAGTAATTATTATACCTCGTATCATTTAGTAATTATTATACCTCGTATCATTTAGTAATTATTATACCTCGTATCATTTAGTAGTTATTATGCCTCGTATCATTTAGTAGTTATTATGCCTCGTATCATTTAGTAGTTATTATGCCTCGTATCATTTAGTAGTTATTATGCCTCGTATCATTTAGTAGTTATTATGCCTCGTATCATTTAGTAGTTATTATGCCTCGTATCATTTAGTGGTTATTATACCTCGTATCATTTAGTAATTAATCCTAATTTTTTGTGGTAACTATATCTCATGTAGGCAGAGTGACATATGAAACTTTTGATTACATCTTTATGATTGTACCACTTAAAGTTGTGAACATAATTTACAATTGCTTTGAAGGTCATTAAAGTGACAGCCAAGTAAACTTTTAATTCCATATAAACTCAGATTTATTATATTGTTAGAGTGCTAAACTTAACCCTCAATTAGTAGAGTAAAGTATTTGTATCATAAGTTGTAGGGTGAGTGGGTCAAAATGACCTATGTGTAATAAGTTCTGAACATATTATCTGTATAATAAGGTGGGATCAGAATGACCCACAAATTACAAAACATTTATTACAACTATAAGAAATAGAAATGTTACAGCATATCTGCTTAGATCAACACTCAAGAACTGATATAGGATATAGTACAGATAATTTCGAGTAGAGAGCAGCACTAGCTGAGTTGGAATATTGACTTGAAAAATTGACATGGGTCATTCTGACTGCACACTGCCAGTTGAGGGTTAAATGCTCCAGCAAATTATATTTAGACCTTGATTGATTTGTAAACGTACAGAAACAATCTAAAAGTTTCCACAACTCCTTTATTTTTCTTCTTTCTTAGAACCTGATTTACTTCCTTGGGGAGTTACCTTTGTCTTCTCTTTCATCCTTGGTCTTGAGGTGCGTAATTTTGTAAACTTGTTTCTCAAAGGAAGCGCATTATAAATCAAATAATTAATAATAATGCTTTTAAAGGAGCATATATTCTGAACAATAAAATAATGATACTGACTTTCTAGACTGGCTTAAAAAATGTTTCAAAATGAACTACTGTTTTTAAAGAAGGTGATATTTTTCTGTAATGTATAATTTTTATTTCAGTTGTTCGTATACTTACCTCAAGGAAATATAGAAGCAATTCTTCTGTCTTCTAAAAATGTTTTGTTGCTGCTCAAGTAATTTGATGATAATTAGTCAAGTTTATAACTGCTTATTATTAAAATTAATTTATTAGACATGGCAGACATAAATATTAATACAGTTAGTTCTATTTATTCTCCTGATGAAGGATAGTCAGCTATTTGAAAGCGCTCGAGTTTTGGGTCTTTTTTTCAAAAATTCAATGTGAAAATTCTATTTGTCTGGTTATTTTAAAGATTGTTGGGAAGTTAGCTAAGCTTCATATTTGTATTGTTAATCATTTGATGTTATTTGCATATTTAATAAATTAAGCACAAAATTAAATCATTTGCACTTTACCATGAGATAATTACTGTATTAGTAAATTCCAAACATACATACATCCACTGACACTTATAGCTATTTCTTGATCTTCATCTTTCCCATCTAAACATAGTGTTCTTTTGCTCCAGTCTTTATACCCCACTATACTGCCCTCGGCAACATCTAATTTGTTGAACTTTACACCGGCCCTCACACACCCTCTATGCAGGTACTGTATATAATCACTGTATGTTGACAATATAATCACTTTTTCTTGACAAAGCGCTAGCTCTAGGAATTATGTTTTGTGGTTAAAATTTTCTTTCGAAGCATTTTAACAACAGTCTGGTGTTTTTTTTTCCATTGCAGATATTTAACTCTTATTACTGTATTGTGATACTTTTCTTCGTGATTTCCGGGAATTGCCCCCCTTTTTTCCGCCTTGCTAGTTTCTTGGAGTCCGTGAAACTTTCAAAGCCCGATTTTATATGGCACGTTTGCAGTTTTCTTTATCATCATTGGCTGCTCGCCTCTCTTCTACTCCAACGGTTAATTCTGGAGAATCAATCATTCATGTGTTGCGGCCCCCCATCTTCAACACCTAGTTTTATTGGTTTACAGAATTGGTTCCATCTGTATTCTCGGGGATCTTCGGAAGGTCGAGATGGCACCAGTGGTGTCAGTGTCTACCCATTCAAAATGTCAATCCCATTCATCCAGGATTCTATTCTCAACTTTTTCTGGTGACCAAAAACACTAGAGATTGGCATCTTATCATCAATCTGTCTAGACTCAATCTTTTCCTACAGCCTCCTCATTTGACCATGGAATCTTTTCATCAACTTCAATGACACTTCACACCTGATGTTTGGATGACCAAGTTTGATGCTACAGACACCTACCCCATAGCAGAGCCATTTTGTCAACGTATACATTTTTTGCATGAGGACCAAATGTAGCAGTTCCAAGCTCTCCCGTTTAGCCTTGCTTCAGCACCATATATTTTCTGCTGAGTAGTACAGGCCTTTCAGCAGCATCTTCATTTTCTGTGTCTGTGCACACATTGCTATTTGGAATATTGACTTCCTTTGGCACCAACCTGTCACCTTGCCACACTTTCATCCACAAATTCTCCTTTCCGACACCAGAAGGGTGAACTTCATATCAGGTTTGAAAGATCTATTCTCTTACCAACTCCATACATGGTCTATCTTGGGATGTTTTTCAATGCACTTTGAGTCGAGCTCAATCTTCTCCCCTCAGACTTCATGCTATGGAAGGCTTTTTCAGGCATTTGCTTATGTCAACTTCTCCCACTGCATGGATGGTTCTGTCTGTTTTGGGATTTGAGCTTCCCTAGAATCCCTCATACCATTGGATCAGGCCCATATGAGATCCCTTCAGTGGTCATTTTGCAGCCAGTGGCTCAACATACCGATCCTTTGGATCACACAGACTCTTTACTCCTACAATTTGCAGATTTCAAGCGGTGGCTAGACAGGAACAACACGAATATCAGGGTCTGGATACCAACTCCTTGTGTGGAAATCCATCTCTTCATGGACACTTCTCTTCATGCATTGTGTGCCTTTCTTCTGGGGTAATCATTCTAGGGTAATTAGACTGACTACAAATCTACCCTGCATATCAACATTCTCAAACTTTTTGCAGTACATCTAGCGATGATTCCAGGTCTTCCTCTCTTGCACTACAAAATGGTCATGATTCATTCTGACTACTTCACAGTGGTTTCATATCTTTCTCGTCAGGGAAGTTCTCATTCTTTAGGTCTTGGTTTTCAGGCTTTGGATCATCTTTTTTGGCTCATTCCAATGACATCCATCTTTTGGCCTGTCATGTGCCAGAGGTTATGATTTTGATAGCAGATCACCTTTCTTGACCCAATCAGATTCTTCCACCATCAGGTGGTCTTTCAATGGATTTGTTCTCAGTTCGGCTCTCCAATGATAGACATCTTTGCAACCCATTGGAATGCTAGCCTACAGTTCTGGTCACCAATTCCACATCCAAAAGCTTTGGTGATAGATGCTTTTAATCAAGACTGGACAGGATTCCATTTGTATGCATTTCTTCATATTCATCTCTTACCCAGACTCTTGTCTATGATTCATTTCACCCCATATTGGGTTCTCTTGTCAGCACCTATTTGGTCTGCTCAGACATGGTTTCCTCTTCTTGTGTTTCTCCAAGAATTTTTACCACTACCTCTTCATTCATCCTTGTTGAGATAACCTCAGTCCAACATTCAATACCTAGAAGTTTAACAACTACAGCTTCATGCATACAAGTTATGCAGTCCTTTGCCTGACCATAGAGGCTCAAATTCTACAGTTTCTGTTTATTTGACTATATCCTCCATCAACCTCCTATGGCAATCTATCGATGGAAAAGGACTACATATTGTTAGTGGTATCTTCAGTGAGCCTTCAACTCGCTTCATCCAACAGTTTCCATAGGTTCAGGTTTGAAAATTAGCTATTCAGTGGAGGTGTGCTTGGACCCTCTTATGAACATTGTCAGATCTTAGGTTGTTCATGCAGGGAGTCCACTATCTCCTCGTAAATCTGAATGCAATGTGATCCCATCTTAGGCTCTTGTTGGAATAGTGTTCCATGTCCTCTCCATAATTCCATGGGTAAGTGGAATTCTCTTTGCACACTTGGTTCTGGAGTGAAAATGACTGTTTGTAGATCCAGACCAGATTAGTTCTGGACCTCAGGTGGAGTATGGCATATATGATCCCTTCAATCCAAGCATGGGATGCTGCCTTTTGGACTTCTTCAGGTTGATCAGATGGATTGTCCACTTTGGTGTTGCTTTCTTTCTTTCGTAAATCCGGTTGTTCAAAATGCATCATTCTTTGGTTGCTGGTGGAGATCCTATCACAAAGATATGTATATATTTGTGGTTCAACTGCCCTTGCCACCAATAGGGGATATGGGTACCATGACCCCTTAAATCCAGCTCTGAGTCATGGAACCTCGGCTGCGTGGTTGGGGCTGGCCCCATCATACTTACTTTTGTAATATTCCACCCTTTTCACTTTTCTGTAGTTCTGGGTGTAGAGCATACCTGTTCTGGATTTAGTGTGGTTTTCCCCCCACTTGGGTACCACTTCTCATGGTACACCTTTGTTATATGCAGATGCTTTCTGTATGAACTATGCCCTCTTCAGCCCTTCCACCTTCTCAATGTGGGATTCTATCTATAAGTGTCAGCAGAGGTATGTATGTTTTGGAAGTTATCATTTTCCCAATCTGAAAATGTATTTCCAAAAATACTTACATCTGCTGACACTCTCCTCCCCACTAAGAGCCGGTGTTAGTGACTGGGAATGGGTAAGTCTCAAAAGTGGTTATATTGTCGACATACAGGCTTATATACAGTACCTCCATAGAGGACGTGTGAGGGCCAGTGTAAAGTTTTACAAATTAGATATTGCTGAGGGCAGTTGAGTGGGGAATAAAGAGTGGAGCAAGCGAACACAATGTTTAGATGGCAACGATGAAGATCGAGAAATAGCTATAAATGTCAGCGCAGGTAAGTACATTTGGAAATACATTTTCAGATTAGGAAAATGATAACATCCTGTGTTGAGTTCTTTAAAAGAAAATTAAGCCACAGGTAAATTAGCCAAATTACCAAAAATGTTAGTTAGTGTAATATTACCAAGAATTTTGTTCTGAATATTTTACCAGTAGAAGCTAGTATTTGTAAAACTTTGTGTCTTGTAATACTGTCATCCCAAACGGGTCGTTACAATAATTTTTCAATGTATTAATCATTCTTTTAAGGTACTGTTCTCATCATCTGATTTTACATTGTCCTATATTTTTAAACTGAAAATTAAAAGTAACTTTTATTTTATCCAAGTATTGTTAGCCCCAAATTTAACAGTCTAAGAAATCAGTTTCTTAAAAATATTTGTAATAAACAGTTTTTATAGTTCTTTCTTTAAATTCTTATTAAGCACCATTTTATATTTGTAAATGTATGATATGCTTTACGTGTAGTGACAAACTATTTCCATTAAGTGTTTTCTTGATGGGTAAAACCCTTTTAAAGACTATTAATCTTTGTTTACAGTATGGAATTATTTTAGGAGTGGCCATTGCTATGATAATGCTACTCTACACAACTGCAAGACCAAAGGTTAACAGTTCTATAAAACAGGTATGTTATGTCTAGCTTAAAACTTGTGAATAATATTTCAACTTTAGGGTCTTTTGTCAAAGACTAGAATTTGTAGTAAATAGCTTAGCTTTTAATATTTGTTGCATGAACAGAAGAACCAAGCTATGGGTGTTAAACTATGTAATACAGTATTAGTCTGTGACTTTGAGGTTATAATCAGGATGTACAGGGTGTCCCAGAAGTCCATGGGGAAAAATACACAATTTATTCTTGATTTATATATTATTCAAATTGCATGCCATTAACAGCCATACATATATCAATTCTTGGTATACTGTACCGTCAGGGTATTTTCTTTCCTGAAATACATACAACTGACATTAGAAATATGCTTGTTTAACTTTAAGAATATAGTGTCTATTTTCCCTATGGGTACAGACTTCTGGGATACTGTACGTATATGATCAGGGTGTATATGTATTATAAGGATATACTTATGTGATTGGGATGTACGTACGTATGTGTGTGTGTTTTATAAAACATTTACAATCACTATGTAAAGAAATGACTTAATTTGTGATGCAACAGTTGAATTAAACTGGTTGAAATTTTAGATTAATCTATGTAAGAATTATGAGATTTAAACCTTGAAATATTCATTTTTCAGACATCTGAAGGTTTCAATTACCTGTTTGTGAAACCTGACCGTACAGTACTATTCCCTTCGGCTGAATACTTCAGGACCAAAGTTACCAAAGCATTTCCAAGCAAAAGTATGCTGTTTTGTTGGTATCTTAACAAGCCTTTCTTTTCAATAGATTTATCCGTTCATACACACTAATCTTGATTCCATTGTTGTTACATCCTCTAGAGCAGTTTGACAAGCAGAAGAGAACATAGTGCAAGTTTTTTTTAAACGTTTCTCTCTCAAGTATTCTCTTGGTTTTTATATGTGATAAAACTAAGCTTTATATTTTTTGGCCTTGTATGGCAACAACTCATCTGAAAAGAGATTTTCTATAAAGTTTTGTAATAGAACTTCCAAAAAAGATTATTAGTTTCATTTTAGAATATCCTTTTTACTTGGATTATTTTTTGAAAGGTAAAATCTTCTTGTAAATGCATGCTGAAATGTTAATAGTTTTAAAGACACATAGCAAAAACCAATAAAAATATATATAAAAAAAAGCAAGTACTAAGACAGTTATGTGTGTGTGTGTTGACAACCAAACATTATGGCTTTAATTAAGAGACACAGAAATGTCAAATTAACTGTACAATAAAGAAATAGGAATGAAAAAAATAGACTGTTTAGTTACAACCTTATATGGCTGCTCCCTCTTTAATGTTTTGTTTATATGATGTTTCACTTTTATGTATTAGTTTTAGGTTGTAGTAATAAGTAAAGGTGTAGCAATACAGCGATATGATACAGTTTATGTATCTTTATGAATTTTGGCAAGCTTTCAGTAAACATTATAAGTCTTTTGTACAGAAAAAAATCAGAAGTTCTTATAAAGTATATTTGCTAAAAATTAATGATTCAATAAAGGAAGATGAGTATTGAGTACAACATGTTGTCTTCATTTCTTTTATCAAAACATTATGGGTAAAGTAACATAACAAATTAACAATAACAAAATAGACAGACAGATATTAACTTTATTTATTTTACTTCTCTTGGCAGCTGCCGTTTAGTTGATCAGACCTGAGAATTTGAAAAAGCACTGTAATGTGTGAAGTACTTAAATAAGACAATATTAGTAATATAGATAATAAATTACAGACAAGACTTTGTAACAAACCGTTGGTAAGACTTCTCTATCTATATACTTATCGTATTGACTACTATGATGAGATATGCACCCCTAGTAATAAACCATTCTCTGAGCTACTGTATTACTGTTAGTGAAAATTATTATAACTGACTTTGAAACTGAGGTTACCAAATAGAAAAATAAGAATTTTTCATACTCCAGCTTCTGATGAGCATTCAAAATGTGTTTATATTTAGTATCATGAGTTACAGTAAGTATCATTCCACAGTAACACTGTCAACTTGGTGGTTCAGAAAAAAGTGTTTCAAACATTTTGAATTTTTAATCTGGAGGCAATATATTTTATTTTACATAGAGACTGGAGGTATGCCCCTGTCACTTTTCAAAAAAACAGTAGCATCAAAGTTTAGATGTGTGCTTGCCGAGCATCTAACAACCATCCAATGCTCCAATATCCATATTTGAAATCAAATTTTGCCTCTAAATGACTAATATTAGCATGTTAAAGATACTTATTTTATTTTTATTAGATATGACACTTGATGACGAACTATATCTAAATGACTAATGATTAGCATGTTAAAGATACTTATTTTATTTTTATTAGATATGACACTTGATGACGAACTATATCTAAATGACTAATATTAGCATGTTAAAGATACTTATTTTATTTTTATTAGATATGACACTTGATGACGAACTATATCTAAATGACTAATATTAGCATGTTAAAGATACTTATTTTTATTAGATATGACACTTGATGACGAACTATATCTAAATGACTAATATTAGCATATTAAAGACACTTATTTTATTTTTATTAGATATGACACTTGATGATGAACTATATCTAAATGACTAATATTAGCATATTAAAGATACTTATTTTATTTTTATTAGATATGACACTTGATGATGAACTATA